ATACGGTGTTGGCAAAGAACTGCTTCTGAGGCGCCAGACAGTTTTCATGTGTGTGTCCTGATGTGTCCATGGTGTTCATGATGGACAAACTGTGACTCACACAGAAGTCCAACAACTGAGCACCGCTCTGGTTCAGATCAGAGGTCTCCCCCTTCACCCCTCTCCAAATGTCACTGGCGTCCCCTACATGAGCGTTGAAGTTCCCCAGGTGAAAAACTGAGTCTACTCTCAGTGCACTGTCCAGTACCCCTCCCAGGGACTCCAAGAAGGCTGAGTACTCTGCACTATTGTTTGGCCCGTAGACACAACAACAGTGTCTAACCACTCTCAAGGAGTTGGGTTCAGAAACCAAGCTGTGTGTGGAGGTGAGGCCGACTATCTCTTGTCGGCATCTCTTAACCTCCCCTGCGACCTCAGGCGCCTTCCCCCCCAGTGAGGTGAAGTTCCACGTCCCAACAGCCAGAGCCTGTAGGGGGTGACTTGTATGCCTTCGACTCCCACCCAGTCCTTCCAAGTATACTGCGCCGTACCAGGCAACGTCACGTCTCGTCACCTAAGACCTGTTTTTATGGGAGACCCGACCAGGGGCATAAAGCCTCAGGAAATATAGCTCCCAGGATCAGCCGAGTCCTTTAACTCCCCCAACACGGTGAGATGGCAGTCCATGGGGGAGAGCTCTGGCTTCCTCCACTGTCAAACCTCACACTCACCACTCTCTTCTCATCATTCCATCCAGACCTTGGCCTACCTCTCAGTTTACTACCACTCAACTATTCATCACTGTCTTCGTCACTCTCTCTTCACCCGTTCTCTGCATATCAGAGAGCAGGGCCTGTATCGTAAAGTTTGTCTTCTGTGAATTGTGAATGTGTCCGACAGAGGCCTCCAGCAGTCCTGTGATGGTCTCTCAGTCTGGGGACTGGTTGGCGGCTCAGCAGTACTGCAGGAAACACTTCACAGACCTGGTGAGCGGGCCGGACCAGCATGCACTGTTCCTGCAGACCTTCCCTGTGCGTAGCTCTCCTTGTTGGATCGGTTTGTCCCGGGACAACTGGGGCTGGTCCGATGGAAGCAACTCCCCGTTCAGAAGCTGGGAGTCAGAGGTGAATCCACAGACGGAGAAGTGTGCGAGTCTGAGAGCGAGCGGCCGATGGGAGAGCGCGGACTGTGGACTGAAGAAGAGCTTCGTCTGCCACGGAGGTAGAAAAGTTTATAGTTTACACAATACAATACAATTTATTCTTGTATAGCCCTAGGTCACAACAGAAGTCATCTCAGAGGACTTAACAAAACCATTGAAATCACCAACACAGGTCAGAGAATCAACAGTTAAAACACATGAAGAATACAGTATAAAGCACACACAGAAGAAAATGTCCATACATGTTGTAGAATGCTAAAGTGTCCTGATCATCACCAATCCTTTCTGTTGGACACTAACTGTCCAACAAGACCCTCCTGCATCGACAAGGAAAAACTCTTAAAAAACCCAGTGGGAAAAAGTGAGAAACCTTGGAGGAGAACTAGGGAAACCCACAGGGAGGGAGACCCATATGAGAAAGGGATCCGCTCCTCCGGACGGACAGACTAATGATCCAGGACCTAAGCTAGCTACAGAACGTGGACCAGTGGACGCTGAACGTGGACAGGTCCGGTGCAGGACTGAAGCACTCCCAGGCGGGTCAGGCGGGGCAGTCCGCAGGTGTAGATGGAAGAGGCCAGGCTCAGAGATCCCGTCATCGTACCATGAAACAGACAATGGGACAACGGGTGAATAGCAATGAACAAACTACAGTCAGAATCCTAAAAATGCTAAACAGATAAAGTAGGAAGGAGGAGAGGATAGTGCTCAAGTTACCATACTTCTCCCAGCAAACTGACTCCCTATGCAGCTTGACTAACACTCTGAGGAGTTTAACCTTCTCCGAGTCTTACCTTCCTAGCCATATGCTAAACTAAAGAGGACTGTTTTAAACCTAGCCTTGAATAAAGAATAACATACAGCATAATATATAACATAATATACAACATAACACAATACATTATTGAATAATATATAACATAATACAGCATATATATATAATATATACACTACATATTATATATTACCTAATTATATGCTAAATTAAAGTAAAGTGCTTTAAGCCTGGCCTTGAATGTGGAGACCGTATCTGCTTCCTTAACATAAATGGGAAGCTGATTCCACAGTAAAGGAGCTTGGAGCTAAATGCTCTGCCACCAACAGTGACCTTTGAGACCTTAGGGACCACCAGACGTCTGGCGTTTTGTGAGCGCAACGCTCGACCTGGTTGATACGACACTAACGTATCTATCTAGTTTGTTTTATTCTACTGGATTTAAACACATTCTGAGCTTTTACCATGTTACAAACAGAGCGAGAGTGGCATAAGGAAGCAGCTGGTCTCTTTCTGGTCCCTCTTTGGTCTCTCTTTTGTCTCTCTTTGGTCTCTCTCTGGTCTCTTTCTGGTCTCTCTCTGGTCTCTCTCTGGTCTATTTCTGGTCTCTCTCTGGTCTATTTCTGGTCTCTCTCAAGTCTCCTTTTGGTCTCTCTCTGGTCTCTCTCTGGTCTCTCACTCTAGTCTCTCTCGGGTCTCTCTGTCCTTTGAGATGTCTAGACGTGGTGAAAAATATGAATTAAAAAGTTGAAATCTGCTTCACTACCACAGACTGAAACACAACCATCAGCAGAACCATGAGCAGAACCATGAGCATAACCATGATCAGAACAAGCTGATATATCTATGGTTTATTTTTCAGAATTGAAAACTAAAAAGACTGTGGTGAAACTCAAAATGTCGGCGGCTGTGGATCTGAACTCCCCCAGTCCCCAAATACTGCACCAGGTGAGTGTCCTTCTGGGCTTTTAAGATCAAAATATGGTCAAAATAGATCTAACACATAGTAGAAAAGACCAGAGACCATGAAAAACCAGAGAGACCAGTTTAATTATGATGGTCTAGCTGGGTTTCCTCCAGGTGCTCCGGTTTCCCCCCTCCTGACAGATGTCATATTAAAGTTTTATTCTTTTCTACAGCTGCAGGAACGGTTGAAGGCGAACCATCTGGGCCACTTAAACCTGAGCTGGAAGAAAGACAAGAACCAGTGTGTTTTCAAAAAGCAGATGTCTTCTACCATGAAGGGACCAGGACCATGTGACGCTGCCTAACCATCGATGCTTGATTGAAAGAAGAGTGGAGAGCTGAGAAGAGAGAGGACTGTCGGGAGGAGAGAGAGGAGGAGAGAGTAGAGGAGAGAGATTTATACACAAGTTTGAGTATATTGTGTGTCCTTTTATTTTTATGTATTTAGAATAATTGTGTGGAGGAGAGGAGAGAGAGGAGGAGAGAGAGGAGAGAAAGGATAGAGAGGAGAAAGAGGAGAGAGGAGAGAAAGGATAGAGAGGAGAAAGAGGAGGAGAGAGGAGAAAGAGGAGAGAGAGGAGGATAGAGAGGAGAGAAAGGAGAAAGAGGAGGAGAGAGAGGAGAGAAAGGATAGAGAGGAGAAAGAGAGGAGAGTCAAAGCGTTTCTATATTCATATTTTACACAAATTTGAAAATATTATGTTGTGTGGATTTATTATTATTTAGGATAATTGAGTGATTATATTAGGGACCAGAGAGAGACCAGAGACCAGAGAGAGACCAGAGAGAGACCAGAGAGAGACCAGAGAGAGACCAGAGAGAGACCAGAGAGAGACCAGAGAGAGAGACCAGAGAGAGAAAGACCAGAGAGAGACCAGAGAGACCAGAGAGAGACCAGAGACTAGAGACCAAAGTCTAGAGAGTAAAAACTAGTGACTAAGAAGCAAAATGAGCCAGGTCCTTTTTTTTGTTTGAAATTTTACGTACCCTAGCTTTAATGCAGACTACTGAACGGGGTCTGCATTATTGTGTCTTGCAGTGAATAAAGGAAAATCCCATGGGTTGGCGTCGCTAGCACCGCCCTAAGTTGGTTTAGGTCTTACCTTGAAGACAGGAAGTACTTTGTGGAGATTGGAAACTGTGTCTCAGATCATATGGCCCTGACCTGTGGAGTCCCACAGGGGTCGATCCTGGGACCTCTTCTGTTCAATCTCTACATGCTGCCGTTAGGTCAGTTAATACACAGAAACAAAGTTTCCTATCATAACTATGCAGACAACACTCAGATCTATGTCTCACTGACTGCAGGAGAACATGGACCAGTGGACTCACTCCTTCACTGTATCCAACAGATCAGTGAGTGGATGCAAAACAACTTCCTTCAGCTAAACGCAGACAAAACTGAAATGATTGTCTTTGGTCCCCAGAAACAAAGAGAGAGCGTCATCTGTCACCTCCAGTCTCTCTCCCTAAAACCTTCAAACAAGGTCAGAAATCTAGGGGTAATACTGGACTCAGACTTACATTTTAATAGCCACATCAAATCACCCCCTGTACTGTGATTATTTCTGATTGTTATTTTGATCTTCTTTTGTTCAACACTTTGAGTTGCCTTGTGTAGGAATTGTGCTATACAAATAAACTTGCCTATTGCCAAGGAAATTGCTTTGGCTCGGTGCATCAGTCAAAGAAGAGAGGTAAAGAATAATCAAGAACAATAAAGATCAGCAACACTTCTAAGTTAAAAATATTTAAATAAACTTGTTACGATTAAAATTACTATATACAATAAACAAGTGCACATGGTGCACACAGTATGCAGTAAGCAGTGCAATAAGGTGACAGCAGTAAAGAGACTTTATAAAGGGCAGTAAAGTGACTTTATAAAGAGTGCGGTGTTGAGTGTTCAAGAGTCCGACCGCAGAGGGGAAGAAACTGTTCTTGTGGCGAGAGGTTCTGGTCCGAATGGAACGTAGTCTCCTGCCTGAGGAGAGAGGTTGGAACAGTCCATGTGCTGGTGAGAGGGGTCGGCAGTGATACGACCAGCCCGGCCACGAGCTTGATGATCACCTTCTCTGCAGAGCGCATAGTTTCTGCTTGTCCAGTGGCTCCAACAAACTACACAGTGATGGAGGAGGTGCTGGAGGAGGTGATGGAGGAGGTGGTGGAGGAGGTGATGGAGGAGGTGAGGATGGACTCGATGATGGCCGTGTAGAACTGCACCAACATCTGTGCAGGCAGCTTGGCTTTCCTGAGCTGCCGTGGGAAGTACATCCTCTGCTGGGCCTTCTTGATGAGGGAGCTGATGGTCGGCTCCCACTTGAGGTCCTGGTGATGGTGGTGCCCAGGAAACGATAGGACTCCACAGAGGTGATGGGGGAGTCCATCAGGGAGGGGGGGACAGAGGTGATGGGGGAGTCCATCAGGGAGGGGGGGACAGAGGTGATGGGGGACTCCATCAGGGAGGGGGGGGACAGAGGTGATGTGGGAGTCCATCAGGGAGGGGGGGACAGAGGTGATGGGGGAGTCCATCATGGAGGGGGGGACAGAGGTGATGGGGGAGTCCATCAGGGAGCGGGGGAGAACTGTGTTTTTTCTGAAGTCCACAATCATCTCCATTGTCTTCTGGGCGTTCAGCTCCAGGTTGTTACCACTGCACCAGGACACCAGCTGGTCCACCTCCTCCTGTAGGAGACACCAGGACACCAGCCGCTCCACCTCCTCCTGTAGGAGACACCAGGACACCAGCCGGTCCACCTCCTCCTGTAGGAGACACCAGGACACCAGCCGGTCCACCTCCTCCTGTAGGAGACACCAGGACACCAGCCGGTCCACCTCCTCCTGTAGGAGACACCAGGACACCAGCCGGTCCACCTCCCTCCTGTAGGCAGACTCATCGTTGTTGGAGATGAGTCCAATGAGGGTGGTGTCGTCGGCGAACTTGATCAGCTTCACGGAGTCGTTGCCGGAGGTGGTGGTTGGTGTACAGGGAGAAGAGCAGAGGAGAAAGAACACAGCCCTGTGGGCTCCTATGTTTATAATCCGAGAGTCCGAGACATTCTTCCCCAGAGCAGGGATGGCAGGATCGTGTTGAAGGCGTTGTCTACAGATCTGTTGGCTCTGTATGCAATCTGCAGGGGGTCCAGGAGGGGGGAGGTGAGGGACTTGAGATGGGAGAGGACCAGGCGCTCAAAGGACTTCATCACTACATATGTCAGTGCCACAGGTCTGTAGTCATTAAAGGAGCTATACCCATTTCTGCAAGGTCTGAATGTTTAGCACGGGCCCCTACTCACTCACAGGCTTCTCATTTCCCCTACGCTCTCATTCCACGGAGCCATCTAGTTTTATATGCAATCTGATACACATGCTAACATTAGCATTAGCAAAACTTCTTAATAATAATAATTATAATAATGCATTGGTTTAATATATCGCTTTTTTGGACAGTCATAGACGCTTTACATGTCATTATTCATTCACTCCAAACACGGTGGTGATAAACTACTGCTGTAGCCACAGCTGCCCTGGGGCACACTGACAGAAGTGAGGCAACCAGTCTGTGCCATCGGCCCCTCAGACCACCACTAACCATTCACACACACACCGGACTCATTCTAGGCAATGGGGGTGAAGTGTCTTGCCTACGGACACAACGGCAGTTGCTTTACAGCCACAGCCGCCCCACTGTGGCTGGTGGGGGGAGGTGAAGGACTTCAGGTATTGTAAGCTGTACAACAATCACTGATGAAATGGTACAAAAGCAACGCACTGCTATCAAAATATATAATTGAAAGATGACCGCTAATTTCAGGTCCGAATGTGGTCCGTACATAGATAGTCCGAACATAGATAGTCCGAACATAGATATTCCGAACGTAGATATTCCGAGCGTAGATAGTCCAAGCGTAGATAGTCCGAGCGTAGATAGTCAGAGCGTAGATAGTCCAAGCGTAGATAGTCAGAGCGTAGATAGTCCAAGCGTAGATAGTCCGAGCGTAGATAGTCAGAGCGTAGATAGTCCAAGCGTAGATAGTCAGAGCGTAGATAGTCAGAGCGTAGATAGTCCAAGCGTAGATAGTCAGAGCGTAGATAGTCAGAGCATAGATAGTTCGAGCGTAGATAGTCCGAGCGTAGATAGTCCGAGCGTAGATAGTCCAAGCACAGATAGTCCGAGCGTAGATAGTCAGAGCGTAGATAGTCCGAGCGTAGATAGTCAGAGCGTAGATAGTCCGAGCGTAGATAGTCCGAGCGTAGATAGTCCGAGGCGGTCCCGCAGGTCTCTCCCATAGACCAGTCTCTCCAGAGGATACGATGTAAGCTAGCTCTGTTCAGGGCTTGATTTCTTCTTTGATCATGTTGTGGCTTTAGTTCCCTCTTCTCTTCCTCACTGTTGTGTGGTTTGGGCTGTTTTGCTGTGTCTGCAGTTACAGCCAGAGGAGTTATAGCCACTTATGCTAACATGCTACTGTGTTTAGCAGCGCTGTAGAGGCTAGAGGAGGCGTGGCCTAGAGGAAAAAAAAATTGGGTATATCCTCTTTAAGTCCAGTGATCCAGGTCTATGTGTGGACGGAAACAATGACTGAGGATTCGAAGCAGGTGGGAACGTGGTGACACCTGCTTTAGACCTGCTTTAGACCTGCTTTAGACCTGCTTTAGACCTGCTTTAGACCTGCTTTAGACCTGCTTTAGTCCTGCTTTAGACCTGCTTTAGTCCTGCTTTAGACCTGCTTTAGACCTGCTTTAGACCTGCTTTAGACCTGCTTTAGACCTGCTTTAGTCCTGCTTTAGACCTGCTCTAGACCTGCTTTAGTCCTGCTTTAGACCTGCTTTAGACCTGCTTTAGACCTGCTTTAGTCCTGCTTTAGTCCTGCTTTAGACCTGCTTTAGACCTGCATTAGACCTGCTTTAGACCTGCTTTATACCTGCTTTAGACCTGCTTTAGTCCTGCTTTAGTCCTGCTTTAGTCCTGCTTTAGTCCTGCTTTAGACCCGCCCTAGTCCTGCTTTAGACCTGCTTTAGACCAGCTTTAGACCCGCTTTAGTCCTGCTTTAGTCCTGCTTTAGACCTGCTTTAGACCAGCTTTAGACCTGCTTTAGACCTGCTTTAGACCTGTAGCTCTCAGCCCAGAGAGTCAGATAGTGACTCCCAGGGCTCGTCCTCACAGGGAATGTAGCGTCCCCGGTTGATTTGACTGGTCACTCAAAACTGATGGTTCACAACTTTATTTTTTCTTTGGCATGTCAACAACACCGTAAGAGCTAAAAGAATTCACACAATAAACAATTAACGCTAGAAAACTTGTACTTACAGTGAGACACATACAAACTCTATTTAAATCCTTAATTCATTACCAGGTCCCTTAACTTATTCCCTTAATTATTAACTTAACATTCCCTTACCCTTAATTGCTTAATAATTATCATAAATATTGTAATCAAACTGCTTCAAATTACCCTTTGTTACAACAGAGCCGTTAACGGCCGTTTTAACGCCCTCTAGTGGCCAAAGGTAGCATACAAGCAACAGTAAACAAAAAACTTTACATATTATTACAGAGAAAATAATACAAACAACATTAAACGAACCATGTTCCCTCATCAACCAGGAGCAAAGGGCTGAAACAAACCATAAAACAACCTTGACAGAAAACTATCAAGAACCAAGAGCTGTAGCACACAACCTTTTGGTCCAACTGCCACTTTCTTCTCCCGTTGCTAGGCAACAACCTATATTTTAATTAAAATATTAAAATATTAATTAATTAAGTCATTTACACTCCCACCAAATCATTAAAGCTTAATAATAAAGCAAAAACATTGACGATAATGATTTCCTAAAGTAACCACACATTAGTCCATATGCAAAACAGTTTTGTTACTCAGTCTCTATAAAAACAAAACTAGTTTCTGCACTGGGCGGTCGACGATTGACTGCCTTCCTGAAGAATGTCCTTTCTCAATGTTCCTGGCTCCATTCACCTTTCTCACGAGTCCATCTCGGTCAATTACTGTGTCCATTACTTGTACTAATCTCCATCCATTGCGGGGTAAATCCTCTGCCTTTTCCATGACAATATCTCCAGCTTTCAAGTTTTTCCTTTGAGTGTGCCATTTCTGCCTTGTTGAAATAGAAAGAGACCAAAACAGTCCATTCCACAATATGAGAATGGTGGAGATGGGTCTAATCGCTCTGAGGATCAGCCATCCCTTGCTCCTGTGTCTCTGTTTGTTTACGGATGCTACGGTTTTGTTGATGCAGGGAATCCAAAATCTATTTAATCTGATCTCGTTAATTGTCCGTCCTTTTCCTTGATGCTGAACAGTATTGTGGAAATCTCCTATCAACAGTTGTTTAATGTGTGAATACTTTGCAGCTCTTACGGTGTTGTTGACATGCCAAAGAAACAATAAAGTTGTGAGCCATCAGTTTCGAGTGACCAGTCAAATCAACCGGGGACGCTACAGGGAAGGACAGTGAAGGTCAGTTAAACGGTCGAACAGGCCTCTGGAACTGGAAAAACAAATGTCTTACGCAAATGAGATGATTTTGTTTAAATGTAAATGACAAAAAACAAAGAAGAAATTGCTCAAGAATCATTTCATAAATAATCTGCAAAGGTGAGCAATGTTTAGATTTGCTTAAGTCCTGTCTTAGTCCTGCTTTAGTCCAGCTTTAGACCTGCTTTAGACCTGCTTTAGTCCTGCTTTAGACCTGCTTTAGTCCAGCTTTAGACCTGCTTTAGTCCAGCTTTAGACCTGCTTTAGACCTGCTTTAGTCCAGCTTTAGACCTGCTTTAGTCCAGCTTTAGACCTGCTTTAGACCTGCTTTAGTCCTGCTTTAGTCCAGCTTTAGTCCAGCTTTAGTTCTGCTTTAGTCCAGCTTTAGACCTGCTTTAGTCCTGCTTTAGACCTGCTATAGTCCTGTTTTAGTCCTGCTTTAGACCTGCATTAGACCTGCTTTAGACCTGCTTTATACCTGCTTTAGACCTGCTTTAGTCCAGCTTTAGCCCAGCTTTAGACCTGCTTTAGTCCTGCTTTAGTCCTGCTTTAGTCCTGCTTTAGCCCTGCTTTAGACCTGCTTTAGACCTGCTTTAGACCTGCTTTAGTCCTGCTTTAGTCCTGCTTTAGACCTGCTTTAGACCTGCTTTAGACCTGCTTTAGTCCAGCTTTAGACCTGCTTTAGTCCTGCTTTAGACCTGCTTTAGACCTGCTTTAGACCTGCTTTAGACCTGCTTTAGTCCTGCTTTAGACCTGCTTTAGTCCTGCTTTAGTCCTGCTTTAGACCTGCTTTAGACCTGCTTTAGACCTGCTTTAGTCCTGCTTTAGTCCTGCTTTAGACCTGCTTTAGTCCAGCTTTAGTCCTGCTTTAGACCTGCTTTAGACCTGCTTTAGACCTGCTTTAGACCTGCTTTAGTCCTGCTTTAGTCCTGCTTTAGACCTGCTTTAGACCTGCTTTA